GTGTGTGTGTGCGTGTGTGTGATTTCGTATGAGTGTCTGTATGCGAACTAGGTCGGTGCAACCAGCTGATACTGTACAATACCAAAACCTTATCGCTCTGTGTGAGTTGCTGGTAAAGCTCAGCTCTCCTGTCCACTCTGCACTATTTGCAGTTGTGTATGAGCTAATGTATGGCCTACATATACTGAGTCCTAGTATGGAAATGTGGCTCTTCCGCATGCATAACACTAATCCAAATATTTGCAGCGTAAACATAAGAAGAAGTGGGACAGATGCCAAGGAAAAGTCTGAGGCCCCAAGTTACGGGACCTTGACCAAACTAACCACCATTCACTACACTTTAGTACTTTGCTAGGAAATGTTTAGTACTATTTAGAACACATTTTAGTCCATTTCATCCAGTGATTTCAGGATCAATTTTACTGGAGGGCAGCCTCACAAACAAACTGACAGCAGCAGTTTTTGTTATCATGTCCTTATAAAGTTGCTGCACAGTGGAAGCAGCAAGCAGCAGCTGGATGCATTCTGTGCGCTTACACACATTTTAACAGCGTTCACACCCCAATAAACAATAATGTAGTTACGCAAAACTAGGCTCGATGCCTACTACTACGTTACGCACATCAAGTGTGAGCTGTGATGCGACCGGTGAAGACAGCTGCGTTGATTATAACTGAAGGTTCGATCAGACAGATGTGAGACGCTCAAGAGTGTAAAGGTAAAGGTGCTTTTGGCCTGATTAATAATGAAAAGGAGGAAGATTTGATTCACAAAAATACACCATAACGTATAAATGCCAGTTGCATAATCAAAACTTCCCTCTTATTCTTCACTATATTCTTCTGTATGATTATAACTAACTTTGAAACACACTTCTTTGTGTGCATGTGAAAAAAACAAAACAAAGGCATACCTAAGTTTACAAATGATTGACAGTCAAGTTTGAATTCATTGTTTTCCCTCTAAAACTGTTACATGCTGCGACTGACAGCAATTTACATAGTAATTGATTGCTTTTGACAACGCAACAGTTGTTTCCTAGCAACTGTTTTACACATTACTTAACTGTTTACTAGCTGAGACTTACTGTACAGATAGTCTACAGGGCTTCATTACTACAGCGTGAATTAAGCCCTGAGCTGCTGCCAGGCCGACAACATGCTTTCTCTCTGCAGCTTGTGTAGGCACACTGAAATCCTTTCAGGATAAAACTTAATCATGCCCTCGGAGAACTCCTTGCTCAAGGCAGGTGTGTGTATAAAAATCCCAAAACAAAACAGGAAAAATGTGTACTCAACAGCATGAAAACTTGGATCCCAAAAGGATCATGAATGACAACGCACACATTTCTTAAACATCAACTAATCAAGTTGTGTACAGTGTGGAAAATCCATTTCAGTTCACCTTCTTTTTATGTACTGTATGTTTTTACCTCCTCCATTTCTGTAGCAGAGGTAGGGAAACCTCCAGACATTGCCCAGGCCCACAGCATAGCCCACGCTGGTGAGGACAAACTCAATCTGGTTGCCCCAGTTCCCTCTCCGGGAGTTTTCATCCTTCTTCACTGGCTCGCCTGGAACTGCTCCGTTCTACAACAAAGACAGGAAGAGACAGGGAGGTGACTTCAGGTGACAGGAGAGTAGACAGCGCTGCTGCAGCAAGTCCAACAACTGCAGTAGGAAGCGTTAAAACACACCTATTTTACAGATGGAGAAGAGCACCCTGATTAGCCTTATTTGCTCTATTTGGCCAAATCAGATCTGTATCACGCAATGATGGTAAATAATAAACATCTTTAGGGTGCACATGGAGATTAATTATTCATGAACCGTGCTTACACTTATTGAATATTTCCTGTAAATACTATCTCCTCTACCCCAAAGTCTAGCATAAGGTGGGCGCAGTGGAGCAGACGGAATGTAAAGTGAAATTAGTGCCTTAAGAACAGCCGATAAGCATTTGGTCTTGTCGTCCTGATTCCGAGCTTCTCCTCTCCTCTCCTCCCTCCCTCTATCACTCCATCTGCTGGCATCAGATGGTCCCTCTCTCCTGACCTCCTCCGTAACCTCAGCTGTGTCCGTCTGTCTGTCTGTCTGTGTTTTTGTGGGCGCACATGAAGACACTCGTGCCCTTGCAGAAAAAAACATTTTGATAATTTCTACACTATTGTAGGTAGTAAAGAGAGACAATTTGACTTGCTGCTCTCGGATCAGCCATTAACAAACTGAAATTGTGCAATGATCTTGGTTGTTTTACATAGATGGGTACCAGGGTCAGTACAAATCAAATGTGAAATGATCCAACTGTGGCATCGCCACATTAAAAAGTCAGAGGCTAGAATATAAAAGAAGGTATTTGTGTAAAGTAAATCACACTCATCCACGAGCAAAAGAGCTCTAATCAATTTTTATGGAGGTTATGCTGCATAATTACAGGAATGTAACAATAATGTTTACTCTGTTAAAATTACGCTATTCAAGTTTGAAGGTTAAAAGATTAAAATATATTCAGGAGGAAAAATGTGAGCTGTGTGATTTGAGTGTGTAAGTGTAAAGTGAGTCCCAATTTATTTTATACTGTACAAACAATAACCATTTGAGGTTTTTTTTTATGAAACGGCTCAGCTAAACCCTGAAATATACTGAAGAGCAGAAAAAAAAAATTGGAATGGTAGCTTTGCCTCAAAGCCTGGAGAAGAAGGCAAGATGGACTATTTACCTAGAATTTACTGGTATTCATTATATGATAAATGTTTTTATCAGTGAATTATTAATTTTGTTGTAGAAAATGAAGGCCTGAAGATCTGATTGTGAAAGCTGGTTTTCTATTTTTTGACTTTTTTATGTTTGAAAATGTAGACGCAGCACTCCTGCCTCTGGCTTATATGAATTTGTGGTGTCTTGTCAACCTATGCGGGCTGGGCACAGTAATAAAAAACTTCATTCATGCTGCCTATGTTATCTGTGTATAGCAGAGCCTGATTTTCAGAGGCTTGTGAATGAATAGCTGCATATTTTCAGTAAGAATGGCTTTCAATCTGATGAAAATGTGAATACTGCTCATGGAAACACTCTTCTTTTGCTATAAATAAATCTTTAAAATCATAAAATGTCTTAAGGTAATACAGTACATCCCCATAGACAACTTTAACAGATGCTTTGTCAACCATGGTCAGTATTACAGTTCAACTACCCATAATGCAGTTTGTTAACAGCATTATTTGTGAACAAATTGTTGCAGCAGAGTTAAAATAATAATACATTTTTGTTCTAATTCTATGAAACTGCTGCAGGACACCAAGTTCTGGGGACAGCAAGACACCCACACACACACACTGATCACAACCTCTCCCAGATGAACACACTGCTTCTGAAACAGAGTGAGTGCGCAATCTTGTTCATCGGCAAAAAGTGTCAACAGAAACAACCACAGCAACAGAAAACAACCTCCGCATTTTGCCCCCACGGTGCCATAGTTCAACTTTGAGGCAGCGCCAAGCGTGACTAATGAGCGAGGGAGAAAAATATCGGACAGCAAAACAGCAACAACCACATAAAACAAACAGCTGCCATATTTTCCCCAAAGCTCCGTAGTTTGTCTTTGAGTCCGGCTGCGCTTGCATGTCACGAGGGCCAAAACAAAGAGCACTTCTTCAGCATCCTTGACCTTTCCTTGTGCAGCAGTGGAGGCTGCAGGTGGCACAGACAGGAAGATCAGCAAACACATGTGTTGTTGTTGGTGAGGAGATGCTCAGAGTGAAGCCACGGTCGCAGCAGTGTGTGAGTAGAAACCCCCCAGCGGTGAGCCCGCCGCCGCAGCGGGTCGCACATTACGACGTCTTCGTCTGGAGTTGACTTTGGAAAGGAAAAGGAGCATCGGAGACACAGAGACAGTGTGCAGCTGTGTGTGTTCTTGTTCCACCCGGCTGTACATCTTGTACATCTCACTTACCTATCAGTATCCAGGTGTGTGCCTTCAGAAGATACACACACATGCACAAACATACAGGTTGAAAGCTCGGCTGAGGTCTACAACCTGACCAACAGAGGGGAGAGAAAGCACTGGGAATAGCAGTGACCCATGAGTCTTTGCTGTGCAACTCAACCTGACACAGTGTCAACTATACAGAGCTTAAATTCAAAATGTGAGGCAAAGTGAGTGAATTAAAAAAAAGTAGAGGATGTGTAGAGGATGTTCTTTGACAGTGGAAAGCAGGCACTGTGTTGTGTTCAGTTGACCTAATTTAGTTAATATATTTAGCAATTAAAAATCCACATATTCAGCCTAATAACTAATCAGAAGTAATCATTATTTATCATGAATTACAGCTTCTGCTAGCTCTACTGGACTGAATTGGATTGAGTTAACCCCCCGGCTTGCTGCTGCCATTGGCATTAAGGTAAGGATAGAAATTGTATTAGAAAGCTCTGATAAGGCAGTCTACATTGCATATGTTTAAATGTTTTCAGAAATGAAAACCATGAAATGTTTGTGTGCATGGATTCAAAAGCAATATGTAAAGCCAAATTAAGAAGTTTTCTCATAATAAAATGCAATTTCAACTTAAAACACAGCTCAGAGCTGTAAAATAATCATTATAAAAGGGTACAGTTGACGTAATGTCGATAATGTCTAGGGCTGGACTTACGGTTTGTAGTCGCTGCCTCTTTTTAGTCATTTTTAAGCAAGAAGCAAAACATTTGCTCATTCCAGCTTCTCAAATTTGAGGGTTTGTTTGTCATTTATAATAGTTTTGGATTGTTGGTCGATTACAATACCCACCTAGAACTGCTGGAAAAAACAATGGACATATTTTACAGAAAGGGTTTCATTGACTTATTGAGTCAGATTAATCAATATTAAAATAATTTAGTTGGTTGCAGTCCCAAATGTCAATTAAATAAAGTTTATAACATTCATTCAGTCATTGCAGGCAGCATTGTTTTGTTGCACAGAAATCCCACTCGCTGTATATTATATTGCCTTATTTATCAATCTGAGTTCTGTAGTATCAGGATCGGCATCAGGAGGGAAGAAGTAACCCACATGTATTTCTAAAGAAACACCAACAGCAGCCTGGGTGGACCAGAAAGTAGTGCAGCCATCACACGTCAACTTAAAAAGTTCTGTTCTGTTATTGCTGTTGCTCCATCCAGCTACATGCAGAGTAAAACCTATGAGTTGAAACATTCTCTGTAGGTTGTAGACTGGTTTCATGGGAAGCTAGCTTAAGAAAAAGATGGACAAACAAACGTGGATACACAATACAGCAAATTCCCAGTCAACAGAAAAACATGTAGAAAAACATTTAAAAGGTTTATCAGAGGATTTGGGGTTCGATCTTGAATCAACAGAAGATCCACACACAGTAAACAGTAGAAATAAGGGCAGTATAAAACTCCGGATATTTGCTGAACCCTCTGGGCAAAAGTTGAACTTTATGTTTTTCATAACATCCCTTTCTCTCGACTGACCCCGATATCTGCCTCTCTCCGCCCAGGTGTTCTAGCCCGTGGTGTCGGCTCCCGGCTCCCGGCTCCCGGGAGCCCCCCGGTCAGTCAGTCAGACAGACAGACAGACAGACAGACAGACAGACACTCCTCTCTCCATATCCCTCCATCCCTCCACTTCTCTGTCACGTGCTTCTCTGGGACCATCTGGGCTTTATATAAGACCACATATGCCCCCCCTCCGCCCATCTCCCCTTCTATTTAGTTTGCAACTTCTTTGCTCTCTTTCCAAGGTCTCTTTGGAGTCACAGTGTGGACTTTGCTGTTGCTCCTATAATAAAATTGCACAGATTTAGAGCAATTTGTGAGTGATTTAGTAATCTGGGTATTGCAGGTCGTAAAAAAAGGTGTCAGGCCATGTTTCACAAATAATTGTCGCTCAGAAATTGCAGATAAAAGTCCAACACGTTACTGTATCTGTTGCCAGTATGCTGTTTATTTCGATGAGTGACACATGTCAAGGTGAGTGTCAGGAAATAAACATTGCAAATTGCTGCTTCCCCACTCAAAGAAGCACCCGAGCCAATCAAAGTTTTGTAGGCCGAGTTAAGAACCGATATGTCATGTTAAAGCCAGAGCAATAGCGAAAGAAAATTTGCACCCTAATCAAAACAAACATGAAACTTACTCAGTTAAGTTGCTGTAAATTGAAACAGCAATTCTTAAATCAGCATTTAAACTGAATGTGCTCCTTGAAACTGCTGCTGCATCCCCAGACACAACTTCCACTGCTGATTCTTTAGGGCAAGCTAGGTCCAAAGAGGAAATAGCTCAGATGAACACAAAGCTCAGACTAATGTTAGAATAATGAAGTGAAAACACAATTTAGTCTGATGATCAGGAAACTACCCTGGGGTCTCAATTTTTGGGTTCTGACAGTCAAGCGTAGACCTAGAAAAGGTGTCATCACAGCGTGGGGCAGCTACAGCGGGCCACCCCAGGCCGATGACCCTGTTGAGAATTTAAGTGATGCTGTCATTCAATGTCAAATAAATAAGTTTAAGAGGAACATGGGTTTTCAAATGGATAATCCGTGTTTGCACAATTTGACAGGTTGCATCACTAAACATTTTGCTATT